TTTCAATATGACTGCCAACTAACCAGTGCGGTTAGTTGTACGTAGAATGGACAAATGATAACACCTGAAAAATTTTACAGTGTCGTCAATCATTCAAAATTTGAATACCTAGTGGAGACGTTGGGGCCGGATTGCCCATCCGTGGTGTCGACTTTGTCGATGACGATAACCACCGTTCCCTACAGTACCTATGATCTATGACAAAAAATATATAGTGTATTGACAGTGTAAAGAATGGCTTGGTGGGTTGTTTTTTTATTTTGCTAGTAGATAGACTTATAAGCACGATTAAAGAGCGTAACGCGTGTACACGTGTGCTCTAAATTATGAGAGAGTCTATATTGTGCATGCCATCCAACTTGAACACCCACATAAAATGTAAAAGCATATGAAGTGCTAGAATATTTCGATGGCGTATATTACATTTAAATATGTTCTCCGTTACCTAGTGGTTAAGTCACATTATGTAAATAAACAATTTATTCATTACAACTCATCATGAGGTATGACATAATAATATTATCATACGTAGACATATGTATATGTTGTAACTTGTAGGTATACCTATAAATATATTATAATAGTATACAATATTGAATAGTATTATAGTAGGTATGCCATATTATATCGTATAGGGATTATATTATAATAAGGTCACGGTGTATAATGTAAATATACCTATATATATTATATACCTATACCTACATATTAACGTGTGTGTGTGTGTGTGTGTGCGCTCGCGAACACTGTGAACTGTACACGTGAATGTATATTATATACATCAGCATGAGGTGCAAAGGTCTCCTATAGCTACGTTTGTAAACGTTGTACCTATATATCATATATTGTGATATTGTATACCGTTGGCGCTAGTGCATTTTTGGCGAGCCAGTGGTGAAATTCGCATTCAAATAAGTCACGCGATCAACAAACGGTTTTTGCACGAGACTTAAGAAACCTTTCAAAGCCCATACATACACCTCGATATACCTCCCTTAGTCCCGTATAGGTACTGCAAAAACAGTGGCGTCGCGGTGTTTACTGCTTATGAAATCACCCTATGAATACACAAGTATTCGGACGGTGTATGTGTTTTGCTCTCGAGTTCGGCAAATCGTTATATTATTTTATATATATTATAAATATAACTATATAAACGAGATAACCGTGCAAATGTGCGATTTATACATACAAATCATCAACAACGCGTGCAAACGAGTAAAGTAACAACGAATAATAATTGTTTGTGATTGTATTGCTTGTGCTGTGGTCCACTGCACAATATGAGACTGAGTGCTTCCTTATCATTAGTCGCGTAAGCCAATTTCATTATTTCTTTACAAAATTACAGCTAGTGACTAGTGTACTTACTTAGTACTTACCTACTTTATACTAGTGTATAGTCTCTAAATACTATAGTAGCAATGCCACAGTCAGGAATTTAATATGATGTGGCCGATGGGGACGGGTGGAGTTCATCATTGTAAAAAAATTACCTACTTTAAAACTATATGTTAGTAGTTACTAGTTAGGACTTACCTAGTTTTAAACGTTTGTAAATTACATTTATAAACTTTCCATGTTGTAAGGGTGGAGGAGTATACCCCCTAACACTCCCCCGTATCCACGGCCTGTATAATAGTAGTATAGTATAGTTTGCAAGTTAATATGATATGATAATATATTATTCGATTATTGCGTTGAGTATAACATCAAAACTGTAAATCTTAGTAGATAAGTAGACATACAGACGTCAGAGGTATGTTCGCGTACATGGTACATTGTATAGGAAGTATCACCACGTTTTCATAATATATATCATTTTATTTATAATATTATTACCTACTATAAAATAGTTAGACGCTGGAAAACTGGTGGCCTTTTCTATACATAACAGATGGTATTACAAATAAAATATTAGACGGAATTTTTTTTTTTCAGAATGTTTCATTTGGTGCGTTCAAAGGACTTTTACGAAATGGAAACTGAGTACAACAAAAACATGCTTCCAGGTTATTTTCCGTCGTACCATTTTTCCCAATTTCACAGTCACATACACAGTCATATACACAACCTTGACCTAAATATAATATAGCTACACTTAAGCCGATCCGTTAAATCTACCATTCCGGTCAAATTTTTTACAAATGCAAAAATAAAAATTAAAAAAATGTCTGTGGTAACTAACCACACAATAAATTTACTTTGAAAACATTTTATAGGTAGGTACTTTAAACGTTTCATATACCAACGAATAATACTGTAGAACATTTATACACACAATTATATTAAATTAGAAATTTAGAACAAAATAACCAACATTGTTATTCTTTGGTTAAATATCTAATTTCGTCCAAATTTGAACTTACAATATCTATAAAAAATATTAATATTTATATATTTTTTAGACTTTTTGGTTATAAGTTACAACATGAACTATTTATGAGAAATCTTGTTTTAAATTTTCAAGCTTTTTGACCCAGCAAAATAGTACATTCTGTGGCAAGGGCAAGAAGTGAGCTATTTCTATACACCATACAATTTTCAAATTATTTTGACTTTATTGGAACTGTTTACGGGCATTTTAAGTTTCCAATTTAGTTTTTTTTTCTATAAATCTCAATAAATGTTTATTTGTAGGGTAAAAAAGCATGCAAATTTAATACAAGGTTCTTGATGTATACGATAGCAGTTGAAAAATATTAAAAAGATATAAGCACATTTTTTTTAAGCATTTAAAGTTTGAATTTTGACAAAATTTATCAAATTTAATATTTAAAAATGATTTTGTAGTTAAAAATGTATAAAATGTTCATCTTTTATAACTAAGCATTGGAAATTTAAAACAAGGTTCCACATAAATAGGTAAATAAAATATAAATATAAATATATAGGTATCATATAGGCTATATCACAAAGGTCAAAGGCTAACTGACCGTATTCGATCAGAATCGTTTTTCGTATACAATGATATTACATTATTGAATTCAAATTTAACACCATCCATTACAGTAACCCATTTGTAACCTACTGTACAGTAGACTCTAAGCAGAGCGACACGCACTTGCCCGCCTTTTTTTTGCGTTATCAGATAATAAAACGGCTGCTGGTTTTTTAGCTTCCTCCCTCCCCCCATTTCAAAATCCTGGCTAGCCACTGGTATAAGCACAGCCCTTCAAAATACAATAATCTGAATAATCATTCATATTACATACATGTGGTTATTTATCAATATAATTATATTCAAGTTGTCGTTAGGATTCTTATTAGTGTATTGTGTATAAATATTATAGATCAATATTTTCAATCAAATTATTTTATAGAGATATAGAGTCACCTGTAACTTGTAGTTTGTAGTGTACCTACTAGCGTAGGACGACTTATCACTGTTGCTCATCTTGTATGTACTATTAAATCTGTTAATGAATATTTAAATTTAGAAATTGCATATTTTTCAATATCACTGATTCTGCTTTAGACGTGCATATTATAATGTATAAATAATTAAATATTGGTTTTATTTCAATATTTAACACAACAAAAAATTCCAAACATATTTTTCTCCCGAATATACAATTATACATAATAGTAGGTACTTAAATACTTATTACTTAATACAATTAAACTACGAACGACCATACAGTAAGTATACTTTAAATCCTAGATTCTTAGCTATATGTATATATACTACACACTATATAGTATATATACTATGTAGACTTTTCATATACATACGGATGCTATTCAAATTCATACCTGTACTATTATACCACTTTCTATCTAACTTTCTATGCCCTGCGTGGATGCATAATAACGACCATGACCGCGCGACAATCCTATTAATAATTATAATTTATAATATTATATAGTTTGACACCAACGTGATGACCAACCTAATATTATAATACAACTTCGACACCTATTTGCATATAATTTTATATTTATATATGACCATAAATTTAAAATAGAAAATTATTCAAATAAATGTTACAAACAGTGGATACCTGGTTTAAGTGTACCTACGAAAAATGTTCAGTTATATAATATTTTAATACATAAATAGTTCTTATTGCAATACTGTGCAGAATGACAATGAAAAGTCAGAAAACTATCCAAACATCCTATACATATTGTTCTAGCTACCTGCACATACTCACATTTATAGATTAATATATTTGTTAATTTATTTTCTCCTAATCCTATATCTACTAAAAAAATGAATGTTATATTATTATCTTGTTGCTTTTCTTCTTGTAGGCAAAGACGTAGACGTATCTCTATCATTGCACATTAATCGAATATCTGGCGTAGACGAGAGCAAAGAGGTAAACATTTTACGAAATACAACAATATTACATATTATTTATTTTACACACAGTGATACTCCAATCTCAAGCATGCTCACTTTAATTATAATATATGCATTTATTCAAGCTCGGATGTTTGAAATTGTTGTATTCAGTGGCATTCCCAGGGTACAGGTTAGGGGTTATATCTCTCCCTCATCCATTCTCCTATAAATCTCCTTATTTGATTTTTTGGTATACCATCACAATTCATTTTAATGTATTATTTGCTATAATTCCCCCACCCCTATTGAAAATTCCTGGGCACGCCACTGGTTGTATTCACTAATAAATAACTTATTTTCATAAGATTCGATTTTTTATGACATTTAGTATAAGTGCACTGACTGCACTGTGGCTTATGACTTTTTAATAAATGCATTTATAATTAAACCTGAGTAAGCTAGTATAATATGTTTGGTAAACCGCCACGTTCCTAAAATATCGATTGTATATTATTGTATGTGTATCTGATTTAATAAAGATGATTATATAGTTAGTATATTTCAGGAAATAGCACTGGACGTATTTTTGCACGTGTACTGGGAAGACCCCCGGATCTGGATTTTGGGAAACGCGAGCCAGGTGGAGCTGACCTGGGACAAGGACCCGAAATTCTGGATCCCTGACCTGTACATCAGGCAATTGAGAGAGATGAAGGTGCTTACGCTGTTCCAGGACTTAGCGTCGATACGATTGTACGACAACAGCACACTCCGGATTAGCATTGGGTAACGGACGCGAACGGTATACGAAATAGTAACCACCTAGTCTCTATATGCATATATAAATATATACGTGCGTTGTATTGTATTCTACAGAGCGACCATAATAATCAAATGTGACATGGACTTCGTACTTTATCCGTTGGACGTACAGACTTGTGCTGTAGACTTCGGCAGCTGTAAACGCACTTTATCAATTATTTTGTTTTCTTCTTAATTCGCGTATTTCCAGGGTTGTTGTATTAAGCAATTTATTTGTCATTCGTAATTGTTTGAAACCACAGATCATAGGTGGAAATTAGAAGAGGGATTTGGGGGGGATTAATTCCCCCAGATATCCTATTAGCCTACCCCCCCACCCAAAAAAAAAAAAAAACAGACTAAAAAATAATTTTTAATTTCTTATGGAATTGAAGGCCCCCTCTCACATCGTTGTTAATAAACAAAACCCCTGACATTTTAATTGATTTCGTCCTATACAACAGGTCCATATCGATAGATGAAAGTAAATATAGGTAGTGGTATATGATGGATTATGGAACAACTGAAGTGTACTGCCATACTGTCTCGTCTGTCTTTCATGCCTCTGTGTGTACAAGTGTTTAAATGTTTAATAATGGGTGACAAAACTGAGAGTAAAATAAATTAATATTTAAATTAATTTCACCATTGACGACTTGTTTTTAGAAATACTTTCATTAGGGTGTACATTTCTGGCTTCTATCTACTTAACTATAATTTTAAATAAATTATATTTTTAAGACTAAAATAATTTTTTATATGATATCATTATTTTATATTTATATGAATTTATATTATATCAGTATTATAGTGGGTATTAAATAAATTGTCATTGGTATCATTTTCATCGGATAATGTATATACAATAGCTCTTTGACTTTTCATAATATTTAAAAAAATAATTTCATTGTGATATCGGCCATATCGGTAATAGTTTCTATTAATTGAAGTTTCCAATTTAAATGACATTTAACATATAGACATAAGTACAATTTTTTAAATTATAATATACTTTATATAGCTTAATGCACTTAAGCGTATTATATTATTTTGAACACTTTTTTTTCTAGAATTAAAAAATACAGCAACCCTGTGCACTAACATAGTGTATTTTATAATATTATAACTGAATATATTATACAAATAATAGAATATGCTTAAAAGACCCGAGTACACATATTTTGTTTTTGTCACCCTACCGACACGTGCTGTTTTTGATACTATATAATATAATATAATGCACTTACAAAAATAAATTATTACCATATGTGTGTAATTTTTCTCCATGTTTTTCTTTTTGGGTTTTCCGTTTAACCACTGTTAGACAAATACACGCTGACGGACATGAAATTCCATTGGAGAGACGATCCGCTGATTTTCCCCAGTGACTTTGGAGATGGATTTCGATTGCCTCGTTACGTCGTATCGTTTGTCACTGATAATCGTTTGAATGTGATTTATTATGGCGATGGTAAGTCTAAACTTTGCTCACACCCTTGCAAATATGTCCGCATAGTCACGCGTAGGTATACCTATACAATACATGCTCAATGTATGCTTATATGTATAAGAACGTAGTTCCTTTAGTACGGTAAATTACGATAAAATAAAAAATAATGACAATTCCTGGTAAATATCGTTAATTTTATTTTATCGCTTTTGTGCTATATTCTTAACGTTAATACATAGGTACCCATAGAAATTAACGTCTATTCGTTATAATAATGATCATTGATTTAATGAATAATTGAAACATTGACAATAACAATCAATGTCAACAATGTTAAGAAGACATTTTAACAATGTACCTATAGCAAAAAAACTTTTTCTTACAATAGAAATAATTCAGACATACCTAATTAAATTGTTCACAAATGCCTTGTAATATCTTATGTATTTAAGAAGTTTTTAAAATGATAAACTGTGACATTTTATAATTATGTCATTGTATTATTAACTACCTGAAAATGTTTAAAATTCCCATTTAGAATATAAACTAACGATAATTATACATGTAAATATGTAACGTAAATATCGAAATTTCCCATATCAATATTATATCCATCAAAATAATAAAATGTTTATGCATTGTGTTTTTAAACAGCTAATAAATTAATCAATTAGGCACGGATCAAATTAATCTTCTGTACAAACATATTCCAGTGATGGATATAAGTTTTATCCAGAGCCCAGTTTAGGGCTACAGGGTTATTTCAATATTTTATGAAGTTATTACATTTTAAATTACATTAACCCTTAAAAGATTTAGGAAAGTTTAAAAAAAACATGACCTTAAATGAAGTGGTGGCTTTGCCGACAACAAGCAATCAAAATATATTTAATGAACCAATTTTCTAAACTCTTTTTTATATATATACTGTATACATTAGTATACATGTTATTATAAAAACAATTATTAATCATGTATATATTTACAAGCTTTATTTTTAAAAAGCTCAAATAATTAAAAATATATTCACCTAAGTGGGTTGGTTTAATAGATAAAAACAATTCATCAAGATAACCAGAGCTCTCGTTTTGTAAGAAGAATAATAAAAAACTGAATACATGTTGTGTTAGTGACATTTAAAATTCAATAACATATTATACGTCTTTGTTATTTACATTCATAGTTTTGAATAGAATATCAATTAACGAATTGCATAAGAATTTTAACTTTAAGAGGACGTCTCACCCGGATGTGTTGTCTCCGTCTTACACACGTACGACATAGCAAATTTTCGTTTGCTAGTTTCAATAGGGTATTGTCAGTTTTGATATTAGAGTGAATCAACCAATTATCAAACTTTTAGGTAACAACATTATTTGTGTTCTCTTTGTGGTTTTTTACGATATTTTAATTTTTAAGTGAGTTATGAACATTTTAGAATATGAATACTTTACATACCCATAACTCACTTAAAAATTAAAATATCGTAAAAAACCAACGAGAGAACACAGATACTGTTCTTACCTAAAAGTTTGATAATAGGTCAATTCACTCTAATATAAAAACTGACAATATCCTATTGAAACTAGCCAACGAAAATTTGCTATGTCGTATGTGTGTACGACGGAGACAACACATGCGGATGAGACGTCCTCTTAAACGCTCATAAATTATCAGTATTATAGATTTCCTCTTAATTTTTTCAAAACTAAAGAGATTTGGTCAAGTGTGATTTTAGTATCTTGAAACTATTCTTGTATATACTTGTAGTACACATGGCTATAGGCTAAAATGTCAATTATGTCTTTTATATATATATATATATTATATTTCCGAGTAGGTAATCATTCCACGGCCAGGCTGGTGATCACACTCAGCCGTGAACTCAGAAGTCATCTGCTAGAGAGCTACTTGCCAAGCACGCTATTCGTCATCATGTCTTGGGGCAGCTTCGTAGTAATGCCTGAAGTTGTGCCTGGAAGAATGGTTCTACTGGTCACAACGCTTCTGTCACTGGTCACCATGTTCGATACCATAAGGTATATATAATATATTATAGAGATTTTATTGTTAATCAGCTGCATTAAGCGCTAACATGTTTAGTAATAATTCTATGCGTTATTATTGTGTTTTGTGTACAATGCTATAACATATTATTATTATAATTTATAATGATCGGGTGAATTATATTTTCAAATTATTTTAATATATTATATTTACTACTGACTAAACCTACCTAACCCATTATCAGAACAAATTAGTCGAGCGCGCACAGTGTAAGCTATACCTACTACTATTATACTAGCCACATAATCTTTTGCTTGTGTCTCATTAATCGTTATGATCAAACATGGTTCGTAAATTAGTTATGAAATATATAACTATATAAGTGAGTCACACCACTAACTTTTTTTTCGGCACCCCGAGAATTCGCCCACTCCCCAAATACGGCTCAGAAAAAATCTTATTAATTTATTAACAACGATATTATTTGAAATAGCTTATTTTGTCAGCGTCGTTGAAGGACGCCAGAACTACACCCCCAAGTCTGGGGGTACGGTCTTTGTTTAAAGACTTATATAAAATATTTGGTGGCGTTTCGTTTACTTTTGGATAATATAGAAGGACAACTTAATTTCCCTACTCTTTCTTTCTACGCCCTTCCCCATGTAGCCATTATTCTATAAAATGTAATATGCAATACCTATTTTTGAAATTATTTGAAATAGCATGATAAGTTACAGAGTTTTCTAAAAATTATGTCGTGTTCTACGCAATAAAAAGGGTGTGTTATGAATTTAAAATTATTAAACCGACCCAGTTTCTGTTCGGATATTATACAAATTAAAATAGCCATATTTTAGCAAAGAAAAAGTTGCGATAACATGCAATCCACGTTGATTTAAAAAAAATTATTTAGTGAAATTCAATGTCTTAAACAAAATAATAATTACATTCCGCATACATTATATTGTGCAGGTAGGTACATGAATTATCGCAATTAGTAATATTATTGGTATTTATAGTTTAGACACTGAAATACTTACTGAATTCTTAATAATTTGCTATACATTACAATTTAATAATTGTGTTACAAAATAATTCCGATAATTATAATAAGTTGAAATTAAAAATGTATAAAAAGGTTAAGCCATCGCCGATAGCAAAAATCGAAAAAAATTATCTACCAGAAACCACCATAAAGTTGAATATTGTAGCATTTTTTACTTCTCCAAAGATGATATTAGAGTTAGGCACAAAACAAAATTAAAAAAAACATATACATTAATACATTATACATTCATCAGTCATCTTAGAATTAAAAATAAATAGACCAAACTATATTATCTATATACTAATTTCGATAACATTGTGATCTACATTTTTAGCATACGTGGTGCATTAACCTACAAAATATGGAACAATGTACAAAAGTTAGTCTCCTAAAAAAATTAAAATTAAATATTGTTAAGTGTAAAAAGTTTGTAAATCATGTTCGTGCACGTAATCCCCGGATGTAATATTATATACAATTAGGCATAAACGTTGATTAAAATGTTTGTTTCAACTGTTTTACCAATAGTTTTACCAACCAAAACGTATGTGTGATTATAGTAGATTGTAGATATCGTGTAATTTAATATAATATGATATTGCTACCTATGTTATATTATATAGCCATATAGGTACCTACTGGCTACTATAATAATTGAAAAACATGTTATTATTTTTAATTTAGTATACACAATCTATTACAGTTACAGTATTAGAATAATTAACATTTGTCAGGAACGATCAATTTCTATGTTTAAAAACTTGACATCATTCATTGGTGGTACTCCAGGATAAGTTTTTTTTCATTATTTTTATTTTAAATCAACATTTTTTGACTAAAATACTCATGAATTTATAACAGTATAGGTACCAATAAAAATGTTTGGGTTTTTTTTCTCTCTTGAATATAAGAAAAATCAAAATAATATTTTCAAAATCAAATAATAATATTTTTATTTTTATTCAAGTTCTTTACATTACTCAGACTGATCATTTTTAAATTATTTCCGGGAACTAGTGGCAGCCGACGTTACTTACTCTCAAGTCTCAACCACGTTGCGTGATTGATTGTAGCCACCTCAAACTGATTTTATATCTAAATGTTTCATAAAATTACCCTGCCCCTTCCCCACTGAAAATAGGTCAGTTTACGCAATCATTACTAGACATCATTAGGTATGATATTCCGAAAAATTCCCCTCGAATATTAGTTATACGGGGATATCTGTTTGGATATTTTGTCCTCCAGACTTCGAATCTATCAGAGTAGTATCTTAGACCTTAGACCTACCTATGGTCCTATGTAATATCGATGAAGCACAAATCCGTAAGTTTTACCTTTTTGGGAACACGGTTCCGTATGATTTCGATCAAACAGTAGATTGTCAAAATGACCCCAAAAACAACACGATTACGTACGATTTTCAATATTGCCATTTATTATTGTCAATTTATTTAATTTAAACCAAGCTATTTTTCTTATCGCCGAATATCATAATTTATAAGAGTTGATAAAATATTTATTTTTTTGTAACTATAGCCAGTTATAAGTCGTATGATATTGGTTTATCGGTCAATCAATCTGTTATATTATGATCTTAAATTCTTTAATACCAAAATTGTTGAAATCGCGTGGTCACGGAGGTTGCGTACTTGCGTGTGAAGTGTTCATGACATAAATAAATAAAACATAATATTTCAAAATAGCAAAAACGTAGAATAAACATAATTACTAGGTAATTTTTGTGTGATTTTCGAGTTTTTTTTAAATATGGTACAAAAATATAAAGTAGGTACCTAATGATTTTGAGGGATAAAATATAGGATATTTCTACAGCACGGTACCGTTTTAAAACGTTTTTCAAATCCTTGGTTATTAATATTTAATAATTATGCGTACAAAGTAGAACACTAAGTATATGACCTCAATGCGAAAGGGTGGGTCATAAAAACCAAAATAAATAGTTTATTGGAAAATATAAACTAAATGTAAGCTTGAGCTGTTTTCACATACCTACATATAATAGGTATATCATTTTAAAATTGGAGCGTTGTACATTTTTAACACTAAATATACGTATCAACCATTCAAAAAATGTTAAAGCAACCAGCACCCATTTTAAATTAATTTATAGTAAAATTCCTTAAGTTGATTTTGGCGAAAAAATTGTATTTCCACATCTAGATACTATATTGAAACAATGGTTATTTAATTTCCAAGTGCATAAGATGTGGTTCGTTATTGTGTAGGTATTTTGAGACATATTTCATATTCCATACCACAACTGTAATTAGAAAAAACGAAAATTTTGAATTAAAAAATCTACATCTCGTCAATCGTTATAAATAAATTTAATAGGTACACTGGTAGCCTGTTTAAGTATAGGAGATAGAACTCATTAGATAGGTACCTACTACCTATAGAACCTAGGTATCCATAATATATCAACCTTCATGAAACGTGAATCGATTATAATATCTGAATAAAATATATCTTTTGCTTAGCACCACTGCGATCCGTTTTAATTTTGAAACACGTATTTTTTCATGTAACGTTACCAAATCGTATTTCCTCCACGGTTCCATTTACGCCAACCAAGACATATTATTATTCATCTCATTTAATTTATAATTTTTAGTAACTACGCTGTTTATTCGTAGTGATTCATAACAATTATTTGAAAAAAAACTTATAAACATTGAATGAAACAGTAAATATATAACATAGTTATTTCATATTTCATATTTATAATTGTAAGAAAATATAGCATATACAACAGACTTATTTACATACTTTTAATAAATTATAAAAATGTTAAAAATATCAGTAAACTTACATTAGTTAATCAGTAAATTTTAAATCACTATATTTTACGGATCATTTTTTAGGTCCACCAATGATGGGCAGAGAGCTTCCTTAAGACATAGAACTACATAGCTTAACCTGTACAATGTCACAAATTGTCTGTCTTGCAACACCCGTCCTCCAACAAACCTATATATCTATAATGGGTGTAAGCTAATAATTTATGTCAGTCATAGTTTATACAACTCCATAATTTCCGTTAAACACTCATTTTAATATTTTATATTGAACTACTATCTCATATAAACATATAATTGGTTCGTCCTGTAGTATAAAACAAAACAATCTATACGATGAGCCATTAGATATTACGGTGAGGTAGGGGGGGGACCAGCGCAAAACTCAAAATTACCACAAACAATATTATTTATTGCCTTTATGACTTTATTACTTGTTAAACAACGTAAATTGTATTCGTCTTTAATATATTTAGTAGGCAAGCTTTTAACATATTAAGAATATTATATAAAATATACCTATACACGTAATAAAGGTACCTACTCCAAAAAACATTTAGCGATTTCAAATTTTTTTTTTGCGCTTTCGGCAATCCGTCGTTCCCCGCTCTATACATATTTTGTGACGTTATAACTATTATATAGTTTAGTAGCAAGCGCTGCACTAACATGCTTAGACACCCCACATTTCGCCGTCTCGTCGTGTTTGTTTAAAATCTTTGAAAAAAGATTTTCGAAAACATTGATTTACCTACCGGAAAGATCTGACGATAATAATTAAATTTTTTTTAAATTGTTATTCATGAACCCAGAACAACGACAATCATTGACCGACTGTTGTTATAAAAACAACTACAAATGTAGTACGTATAGGTATTAATAATAATGGTTGATTTCTATAAATATTTCAAGTTAGAAAAGACAAACACGGTGGACATTGTGTGCCTAGAACACAATAAAATATTGTCGGCAAGTCGTTTTACTATACATACGTTTTTACACCGCCAGGAACAACTCGCCGAGCGCTCTGGAACTGAAATGCATCGAAGTGTGGCTAATATCGTGCACGCTGTTCGTGTTCCTGGCGCTGGTCGAGTACTTTATCGTGCTATTTGGAATGCGATACGATAAGCACTGGAGGCATAAGAAACGCGATCTAGATAGCAGTTTAGGGGCTCCAAGCAAACCACCATTGTTCGGGTCCAACAAAGTTCACGCAACATCCGGAAGCGATATGGCTGGAGACGAAGATTCGGTAGGTGCTGCAATTGCTGTAATAAACTACCCACCCTCGACACTACATAACCTATCAGCCTACGAAAAAAACGTGAAAAAAAAGTTTCTCCCAGTATATACGAGTAATATTTTTATATATCCAGTCATCCAGAAGTATCTATAATATCCATACAGTGCAGGGTGTTTAAAAACAATTTAGTTTTTAAATATTAAATTAATATTTGCTTTACAATTCAATTTTTAATATCTACCATTTATTACAGTTTCGATTAAAAATACAAAATTTAAAATGATTCACATTTAGTGTCATGGACGACACTGTAAAATAAACTAACAGGAGAGAGACAATTTCCACTGTCTCCCTCCTCAAATAATCAAATACGCCACTGTATCCATAATAGGTATTATATTCATTATTGTATAGGTATACGTGCTAGAGTAAAAACTTCGACCATGTTCGAAAACTTTGGGTATATTGTTAAATTTATGATCTTAAAATTTAGCACATCCATTACAATAACCCAGTGACCCACATGACACCTAATGTACAGCAGAGTGGTACTCACTCGCCCGCATATTTTTTTTTAATACAAACGTGCAATACAAATAACAGCACAGATTTTTTCTGTCTATAAATCATCCATTTTCATTATATTTTGTTGATAGCTATGGTTAGTATATATTTTTCGTGTTACAATATTATAACGAACTATATAATGTGGGCCGTGAAGTAATACAAGACCGAATAAAAAAAAATTTTAATAATTACTTTCTACAATTCCTTGTTGGTTTTCACTGTGCTGCAGACTGCAAAATCTCAACTCCCTACATCACAGCAGCATATGGTGACAACGAACAGTGGACCAGTGGCAGTTGCATCCACCGGGAAGCTGCGATTCCAGTTGATCACCAGACATGTCATACTATATTGCGGTTCGCCGAGGGGCACCCTAGACCAGGTTTCGTTGGCACTGTTCCCGTTGTGCTTTGTCATTTTCTCCGTCATGTACTGGTTATCGTACCTAAATGAGTCCAGGCGCAAGGCGTTGGCCTCCGTCGTCTGAACGAATGCAAAAATAAAAATGACATGTGCGTATGATGATGATAATAATAAAAGCCATAATTAACAGGGGCGTCATTTTAGATGTTGCAGGGTTTGCTTATGTGCATACCTAAAATGCATCAAGATTGTACTGACTATAATTTTTCTGCACCAGGCAAAAATAAACTTTTTTTTTTAAATGATTAATGGTCTTAAGTATTGCCGATACTATGGGCTATGGCTATGTGATATTATTATTAATGTACCTATTATTAAATTATTTAAATGAAATATAAAAATGTTTGGTTTATATTAAATATTTTATGTGTGTTTGAGGATTTCAGTATTTGTTTTAAACTTTTAAATACATTATTTATGTACTTATAATGTAGTTTAGAACTCCTGGGCTCCTAGACGAGTTCTCTCAGTGGGGCCCAGTATTTTGGACAAAAAAATACAATGTTTTTATAGGTACAATACCTATAGTGTTTATACATTTACAATAATTAAGTAGGTTCTAACTTCGTCGTAATATTAGGCATACCGTATACAATAGTCAATATTCATAATCTTATTAGATTATTGCATGAAAAATATAAAAATAATTCTAATTTTCGAGAGCGTGAAAAAAAATGTTTTGAATAACTCTATACAGGTGGCAGGTGCCTATATTGACCTGATGAAAATTTTTTGGCCTTTCTAGTTGTTAGCATACCTTTCAAAAAGTTGAAATGACGCCCCTGAATAATAATAATAATCTAACCTATAAGTGGCTCTACATTAAGTGAAATAGGTAGGTACTTACCTACCTATATTGTAAAAAATATAATATATGGAATAGGTATACAAGTATGCAACACTATAATATTGTATGATCTTTATATTTCCGTAACTGAACTATTTCTGGAGATTACATCAATAATAATAAAATTGTATACATATATGAATGATTAATGCATATTATATACATAAAATATTATACAAAATAGTATTTACTAATAATAATAGGTTACATAAATAGCTATAGTTTAATAAATTATTGTATTATATTTTTGTGTTAATATGTGTTTAAATTGTTTATAATAACTAACAACCACAGTGGTGGTTTTGAGGGGGGGCGCTCACCCCCCTTGGATTTTTTTTGCATGTCCTTTTTTTTAATTGAAATTACACTATATGCTTGAATTGCTTTAGTTATGGTTGGGGGAGGCAAAAAAAATTAAATATAGCCCCTCTTGATGTTTTATAAAAACCGCCACTGAATAACTACCATGTATGCGTGCCAGCTAACTATAATACGCACAACAAACCAATCTATAACATTGAAAAGGAAAGTAGGTAATGAACTAGGTACTTTATAGTTGCAAAGATGTGTTGTGTACATCGTCTTTGAGTAGGTCACTATTATAAAGGATTATATTTTTGTGTATTACATTTTAGTAGGTATTAAAAATTAATTTAAAATAAATATTTATCCTCAGTTAATTGTTGACATTTTGTTGCAATTCTAGAGCGAATAGCTATAGAATAAATAAATAAGTACTTGTAGGTAGTATTTGTAAGTACTTTGTTCACCAAATATCTATTTTATTATTTTCTCTAAATAAAAAAATTTTTAACTCTTTATAAGCTATTTATAAGCATGAATAAATATGATTTTTGTTTTTTTTTGGTTATTTTCGATAAAATATTTTTCGCTCTATCAAAGAGCTTAATGAATAGGCTCGATTTTATTTTTATAAGTATTAGAAGTTCAAATTACGAAAAATATTCACTTCGAATAAACACAATTTTTTATTTAAAACGCCTATTATTTACACTTAATTGACTGCCTAGAATTATTAGAACGAGTAAATTTCAAAATTAGAACCCATAAATAACTAAAAAGAGAATTTTATTTAAAAAATGTACGACCTTGTTGTGAATTTTAACTCCTCGTGTTAAGTTTTAATTATGTTAGGAAACAATATTAAACTTGAAGATTTAATATTTTAATCATAACTCATTTTAAAAGTTTCCGTCAAAAATGTAACTAAAAATTATAGTCATGAAAAATCGTTCATGGACTTAACATTATATTTGGATTGTTTATTAATTATTTATGTAATTGCATATAGCATGTATTCTTTATTTCTTTGTATCTACCTATAGGTATTCATTATTCTTATACATCATATTGATATTGTACCTAAATCTACTTATTAGTTATTAATTATTATTATGTAAATACGCTTTTATATTATATACCTATTGTAATATAATTTAATTTAATTAAGAAACAATTATTGTACTTATTGTGACTGTAAAAATGAAACAAGAATTTATTTCCGTTAACAAAGTTATTACCTATTATTATTATTATTTCATTATCAATGGTTTTGACCGAGCAAAATTGTTTTCACCAATAATTATAAGAAAAATTAAGAGCAGAAAGTAAAATGTTTTTTAATCATAACACATATATTAATACGAAAAATTTGGTATTTGTTAATAGCTTACCAAATTTAATTTCGATTGACTAAAGAGCAGTTAGTAGGTACCTATACGCACTATTAATTCCTAGTTGATGCGTAGGTAAGTGCCCAGTGGTAAGTGGTAACTGACTGGGAGTTGGGACACATGGGTTAGCTATACGCCTATACATCTTTAGGTATAATGAAATAGGTGTACTAGTTCAATAAAAAGCTGTTGATATATTCAACCACATTACCTATTTAATATATGGTAAGAAATAACAAAAATAAAGCTAACCTAACTCCAGGGTCTGGTATCAATTGCATACCTTTTTATTATTTAATAAACAAACGGGTCAGTGGAATATACATGGTGGTGGGGGGGAGAGTCAACCCCATTGGTTTTTTTCACAATACCTAATATTGATATAATATAAAAATGAATACAATTTTATAATACATTATTTATAAAAAAAAAGCCACACAGTTAAAACCTAATTTGTTGCTATTAAAGTAATTTGTTTTATTATAGCATATAGATACTATTAGTAAATAGTACCTAATATGATGTAGTTGGTAAGTTGATTAAATTTTTGCCGAAAAAATTGTATTTGCAAATGTCATTGTCAATGTGTTTGAAATATGATAATATACTTTAAAAGTTTCAAATACCCACAAATAACTTTTAAATTAGAACAAAATAACTAAAATTGTTATTCTTTGTTGAAATATCTAAATTCGTCAAAATTTTAAATTGAAATGTCAATAAAGAATAAATTTGTTTACATATTTTTTTAGACTTTTTGGTTACATGAACAAACTATATATGAAAAACCTTGTATTAAATGTCCAAGCTTTCTTTCACATAATATCAGATGGCGGCTACCCAACATTTTAGACCTAGTTGCGCCACTGAAAATAGCAATATTTTAATTTGGTCACATATTGGAAACTATACCTTAATACAGGATGGACTAACCTTTTGCAGTTGGTGGACCAATTTACACATTGTGGTGATGATTACTGATTAATGTGATGCCCAATATTATTATTATTATTAGTTGGCGATTGACTGAATGCCACCGTCTCCCACCGCCTATTTTGTTCTTTTTTATCACACTCATAAACAATTCAAAATTATTAAATATATTTACTACATAATATGCTTTTTAAGCTTAAAGGGGAACCAAAAATAAACTTTGAGGGCCACATGCTGTCTGCAGGTTCAGCCACCTTGGGTTAACATATCAGTCAAGTTTTTACACCATACCACAGACATTTTTTTATTATATTGTATTTTCAAGCATAATTTTTTCTTTTATACTTAATAATAGAATTAGTATGACATCTGGAATCTAGATATTTTGGCTTGTTTAAGTACAATGTGTACATTATTACCTATATTTGTATTATGCTATTGAGACAGTGTTAAAATGTAATTACTTACTAACTTTTATACTATTAAATCTTTACAATATTGTTGTTCACCAGTCTCATTTTCAACACAACACTATTTTATAATTATAATCATATAAAATGATGGTGAATAAATCAATTAATATATTGAAAGAAGATTTTCAATTCCACGAGTAAAAATATTTTCTATATTTTTATATTGTTTTAATTTTCAAATACATTTTTTTGTACACCTAATATTGTTTTTTATTCTACACAATAACATAAATTAATAACTATTAATCATAGCCCATTAAAAAAGCTTCAGCATATGCAAGTTCAAAATCAACTGGTTTTCCTCTAACTCTTCTCCCGATAGGTTCTAAATCTGCATAACAACGATCAAATACTTTCTCAACTGCTTCTTTTGCTTGTTCATAGGTGACATCTCTAACAGCCAACACGGAAATAGTGGCTTTATGTTTTACACAGTCCTAAGTAAAAGTAACAATAAATAAAATATATTAAAAATGTAAAATACAAGACCAATAAAATATAATTTTAAATAAATATACAGATAGAATAATCTTGTCAATTTAGCATTTTGTAATTGGTATTCTATTAAACTTATACAGTAAAAATTCCATTAACGGTCACCTCTGTAGGACGGTCACTTCTATGTAACGGTCAATTTTTTTGGTCCCGTCGAGTGTTATCCTAGTGTTATTCTACCTCTGTAGGACGGGCACCTCTAAATAGCGGTCATTATTTAAAGTCCCTTCGGTGACCGTTATATGAAAGTTCTACTGTACAATATATATTTTTTTTTTTTTTTATTAGTTTTTAATTTTATAATATTTATGTACACAAATTACAATATAAAATGTTATAAACTAGCAGTCTGTATAATTACTTAACATGTATAATATATTGTACCAAACTAAAACCCTCTATAAAAAGAGAATACATTATATACATTTTGAAAATGGTTGAGTAATTTACTTTAATTTTTGCAAAAAAAATTTTTGTTCTATTGTACTATAGTGTAATGATTTCTAATTCTCACTTGGTGTTTTTTTCTAAAATTAAAAAATGATGAATGCCCTTCGAGCATAGACGATACAAGTCCACAATGAGTCAAATTTGCTGCTCTGATTTCTGTACAAGCTAAATGCTCAATATTCCGGAAGTCTAATTTACGTGTACAATTGTCGAACATATGTATGAGCTCATGTGTGAGAACTCCCTGTATGGTACCCTTTGATGTAGCTGTGTTTTGACATATAACAACCTGATTTACACAAAAAAAAAATAAAAAATAGAATAATAATAATAATTATTATTATTATTTTATACTTGATTCATAATTGGATCATATCCCCCATGGACGCTCGAATCACATAGTTCACATGCAATATGACGAGATGGGTTGACATCGCTGAAAATAGGAATATAATTTATTTATTAATATTAATATCAACAATAATGCTCACGGTGCTACAACATTACCATACTCAAGTTAAGAACCATACTTGGTGGCAAACTAATTTTTGTCACCCTTACCTGACCAACCAGTTATACAATTTGTTGTGTAAGAACACGGTGGCCTTGTGTATAAGTCAGCTGTATAGTATGGTTATTTTAACTTGAATAGAATATAGAATTTTATTGCACTAGGACAAAGGGTAATATAGGGGCCATTTACTGTCATTAGTCATTACTCATTACCTATCTTATTTTGTTACATTTTTACAGATATAAAACAGATTTAGATTTACAAATAAATTACTCAATTTACTTAGTTTTTAACAAAAAAAAATGTTTTCAATAAAACTTCCAAATCTGGAAACAATCCTAGTTAATATGTACTACATAATGCAACAAAATATTGAATTATTTAATATAATTTACAATATCACTATTTTCTACAATTACAAAACATATTAGTTAGGTTAAGTTAGGTTATTTAGGGTAATTACAAACCTTATACTTAAAAAGTAATTAATATATTTAATTTAATGAATACAGTGCCTATAAAATATAATGTTTTTGAAACTAATTTCATTTTTCTTACTTATAAGTTATAGATAAGAAAAATAAAGAACAAAGTTGTCTTTATTTATTTTTGAAGTTTGACGTATTAAGTAAAGTAAAGCTTTGAATATTGAATCTAGGCACAAGAATTTCTTAAATAATTTTTAACTTAAATAAGACATTAAGACCTATAGGTATTCTCTGTTGTTATTACAATAACAAAAAGAGTGGAAAATACATATAATAAAAGCTTTTAATATTTTCAAATAATTTGTTGTAATATTGTTTTTTAATATAAAAGAAGCATTTCATGTAAACTTTTAAAATTTTTATTTTTATTATTTTACTGAAAATTTATAATTTTAAATTATTATTGTTTGTACTTATAACATAAAATAAAAATATATAATAGTGACAATATTGCATGTTATCTGATTGATAGTTCTAAAAATAATTTATTTTATAACCACATTGTATGAAGGCTTAGGCAGAAAACTTTAATTGTGAATAAATTCACTAGGCAACTTATAAAATTGTATAGTTTCCTTTATTGTTATATAAAATATGTGGTTTCAATGTTTCATGTTACGATGTTTCATAGTGATTCTCTAAATGCATGTAAAAAAAACTTCAATAGTAATTTGCCATCAAAGTCAACAAATAATTTACTAAGAACAAAAGTGTAAGACAAGTAGATTTAAGATAATAATTTAGTAAACTATTTCAACACAACAATAACATTAAATTAGTTCAATCAAAAAGTTATTAATAGTATGACTAATTCAATAGTAATTTTGATTTAATAATTTATTAAAACTGTTTAATAAGTAGATAAACTTAATTTAACTAATCTAAAATAGTCAATTATTTTATGACTATATTGATGATAAACACAATAATATGAAGAACAACAAATTATTAAACAAGTAAAGTAGAATGCTTATGAGTTATGAAGTTTGTTTAATAAAATGTTTAGATGTACTTCTTTTATAATAATTTTTAAGTTATTAACCTAAAATATTTATTTAAAAAAAAAGATACAACACACATTTTAACCAAAAAAATAAAAAAGGCCAATATTTACTGTGAAGTATAGATTTATTAAATTTAAGTAGTTAGTGTGATTCATTATTAGGTATTATTTAAGTCATAAGTGTGTTAATTTCATATTATATAATGTGCATTTGTGCACATGTCTGGCGGGTGGCGCAAATCCCCAAGTGCTGATTGGCACTTGCCCTTCCAAAATAATTTGGTGGCGAGTTTGTGTGTACCTATATGGTGGATCCTATAGGAACTGGAAAAGGTTATATAATTATATTGTAAATATAGGTAATATTGTAAATATAATTATTATTTATGAATTCATAAGACCCATAATGAGTAATGAGGGGGGTGATGGTCAGTAAATCACTAAGTTTGCCACCTGCATAAATACAATTTGCGGCCCTGTGTCTGGCATTGTCTTATAACACAGTAATTAGTAATATATAGTTACTACATCACATTTTTTAATCACACCTCAATACTGACTGTAACAGAATTTTGACAAATTGTATAATAAGTTGATCAAATTCATTATCTGACACCACATAGCTCTCTCACCTTAAGGTACATTATTATCTAAAGATTTCACAACTCACCAACCAGATCTGCGCAACGCACCCATCATGATCTTTACCAAAGGACCTGTCAAATATAAAATATAGATTCATAGTTATTTTTTATAATGTTTAATAAATTTAAATATATATAAAATACTGTTCTGTATATACTTTTGTTGATACAGGAGGCCACTTTTCTTTCGCACTTGACTCTTTCCAAGTTTTCATTTCCACGCCCTTGAAACAAAATATTTTTTAAATTTGGTTTGTAGGTACCTCTTCTCTCGGGGAATAAATCAAATCCCCATCCATCATAGCTATCTGTGGACTGTGAGGTTGTTTGGTCTTTATTTTCTTTGCGCTCCGCCATAAGTGTTATCTAATGCACAACATTAGTCTTAGAGAAAAAAAATTCGTAATAACAAAAAGTAGAGTATATTTTACTATTTTATGTTGTATACATACTTAGATAAAACTAGAACAGAATAGAAAGACGGACAAATTTTCTAATAAAACATACAATTATTATTGACAACCATTACCCTAAGTTAGTCACTAAAATACTATGTCTAAATACTACAATATAGTAAAATGTTGATTTAAATTTTAACTTTTTAAAACACATGTAATTCGTTGATTATTTTCTTATCACACCGATAGAATTGTATCTGATAAAAGTTAATTTTTAGTTTCATGATAACCATAATCTAAGACCGCGTATACGGAGTAGGGATAGTTATGGGTAAGAGGTATATATAAGCACATAATCATGGCTAAATATATAATTATATTTAGCCATGTATTATATATAGATCTGTAGATCTGTTCAATATAGAAACGAAGCGACCCTCGAAACAAACGCATATTAAGCATGTCTATTTGTCAATGCCCTACGATCAATATCGGTCGGCCTAGCCGTGGGTCCTCCGTTTTTTTTAGGGTCTCGCAATTTTTGTATATGCTTGGCGTAGTGTTCCTGGCTTAGATCATATTGTATATGATCTAAGGTTCCTGGGCTATAAAGGGTGTAGGGACTCCGCAAAGTATTTATCGAAATATTCAACCGTACGTAGTTTTTAGTGGTAAATTTTCATTACTAGGCCCAATGCCGTTCATTATGGAGATCCTTAAAAAACTGATACATGGGCCTTTGTAGTACCAGGCCGACACTGCCTAAAATTGATACACCTTGAACAAACTATGAAAGTTTATATCATTTAGGGTCGGTATGAAATCTTATTAAGCAGACAACGCTAAACGGCATAGTTTATCCTAAAATGTTAATTTTTTTTCTATCTTAGGTGCTGGCGTGAGAACTGTTTCTAGAATTTACTCATATAATATGTTGCTTGATTTTGAATTTTGCTGTAGAAGGACTTCTGAGCGAATTTCAAAACTAAGAACGTTAATAGGACTGATAAGTTACACATTATTTGAAAAACATTTTTTCGGAAATGTAAGTTTTAACTAGGAAATGGTTGGAATATTGTTTTTAAAGCACCAAAGTGTGACAACAATTTTGATGGAGTTTTGCCAACTTTCAAACTGTGCTTGAACAGGTATCGACAAAAAAAAAAACTTCCCAACTTATTCTTCTAGTTTAGTTAAAAAATGGATGGAAAGCCATGTTTCAAGTGCCATTTATGAAAGCAGTTTTTTTTTCAAAATTTAAATCAAAATTCAAAATTATTATCACTTCGGTTAGTATGATAACAATGATAACAATCAAATACTATCAAAAATTAAAAATCATTATTACAAATTAAATTTATGTCAACATAAAAATTAAATCTACGATCATTACAATACATTACGCTATTACAATGTATCATACACAATCACTGAACTCTATAGTCTATCTGTATTCACAAATAATCACAACTGGTGAATAATTATAGGCGTTACGATTTTATTTCGGTTTGATGATCAAAACATGCACATCCATCACATTTGTGCCGGTGTGTCCGATTTTCAGTAGATCATCACCACCGCAATCAAGTGACGAATAAAACCCGTAGCTGTCGTTGTTGTTGACATAGCGTGAAGGGTCTAGGCCTTGGGACAGCGCCACGTCCTCGAGTGCCGGGTAACCGAACGCCCCGCACGCATCGGTCGGACCATCGATGCCGTCTGTACCGCCGCTGAAGAACAGCACGTCGAACCGGTGCAGACCGTCGTCACGACGTCTCGCCGCCCCCAAGGCCAAAGACACCCTCAGCGCAAGCTCTTGGTTCCTACCGCCCAGGCCGCTACCCCGGACCATGACCGTGGGCTCGCCGCCACTCAGTATGCACAAGCCACGGCCTTCGGACGACGCTTCGACGACGCTGTTCGTCAGGCCCTCGACGTCCACGCCGCCACCGCCGACTACCGACGACGACGTGATCTTCAGTTGGTCTTTGCGTTTCCCGTCCGTTGTGCATGCGTACAGGCCACACACGTACGTTACGAGATCTGAATAAAACGTCGCTACCAGTGCCACGTCACCGTGGAGCGACGTCGTCACAAGTACCGCCTTAAAGTCTCGGCTGGCGTACTCGATGCCCGCCCGTAACGCTACGGCGTTGTTGCCGATCACATAATTGTGGACTCTGTCGAACCGTGCCGAGGTGCCGTTGAACGATTCGTTTCGCAAGAGCGCGTCGATGACGGTCTTGGGCATCTTATCACGCAGACCGAAGCGGTCGACAATCCCGATGGGTAGACAGTCGGGATCGTCGTTGGGCACGGTGGGTCCGCTGGCGATGGCGGTCAACGGGTCGCCCACGACGTCAGACAGGATCAGTGAGATCACGGTACACTCCCCTCGGACCAACCCGATTAGTCTGCCGCCCTTGACCCGAGACAGAGCTTTCCTCACGGTGTTCAGCTGTTCGATGGATGCACCTCCCGACGACAACAGGTTGGTGGCGAGAATTTTGTCGTGGAGGGGCACGGTCGGCGAACACAACAGTGCAGAACCCCCGCCTGATATCAGTACGATCAGCAAATCGTGCCTCCCCAGACGGGCTAGTGTACCTGTGATGCGATCGGTGTTTTCCACCGACTGCCGGTCAGGCATGTTGTTCCTGGCTGCCTCCATGACGCGCACTTTGGAGTTCTGCAAAGAGGAGGGTCGTTGGGTCCCGAATGGGACGCTCACTACGGCCTCCTTGAGACGGCCGTTGAGTATGTTCTCCACTTCTAGCGCCATGTTGAGCACCGCTTTACCGAAACCGACCAAGTAAACGTCACCAGGCACGCTGTACTCCGAAGAGTCGTCATTAACGAAAAGCTTTTTTGAATCGAATCTCAATGTATTTCTGACGATGTTTCTGGGCGACACCGATTTGACGCATTCTTCAAAAACCTTCACAACGTATTTCTTCATTTCCGCTAAACGATCGAACTCCGAACACATTACTTGCAAGTTTGCAACCTTGTGCAAAACGCGATCGAGATGTTGACGAATACCTATAATATAAATTAATATTACTCAATAGTGAATTGACAATTTTGAATTATTATCGTATAGGTTAGACCGCGTCGATAGTAAATCGCCTTTCATCGGGTATTCGTTTTCAACTGCGACAAGACCATTCTTTGAATGCGTGCATGAAGGGTGATGACATATTATTACAATTTTGTTGTAACTTCGTCAATTCGTCATAGCAATAATACATAATAATTGAACTTCTCGTGATGAATATCAATCCGATTATCGCATATTCGCATAGAAATATAGAATTATAAACCGGACATATTATTTAAGGCGGGCCATTAATTCGATAACGACGTAACGTCGTTATCAAAAACGTTAATTGGAAGTTGATATAGAATCCGTTCAAACCACGACTGCATACACCTCTATAATGCTATAAAAAGTTCGAAAGTAATGTTGACAACAATTAATATTTGGACCAAAATACCGAATATCTTGGACAGTATTTGTTCCAAAAATAATTTAATTGACAGTATTTTTCATCTGACAAATATTTTGGCTAAACCATATTTTAGCAAACAAAATATAACAAATATTTCGCCTGAATTGTTTTATAGCTGTCGTCTAAAATACATGTCCAATAAAAATAAAAAATAAGAAATTGAGATCGGACACAATATTTTTGGATAAGTTGTGAGCTCTTGATACAGTGGTATGCCAAAATATTTTTTTTTAAAGAAAAGAGACCACGTTTCTCTCTCACGATTCCCTCAATTCAAGCACTGCAACATATAAGACATTAGATCATAATAGTAGAGTTTATTGTGAATACTGAATTGATTGAAATGTTGGAAATGTTCTATAAATTTACATTTAAAATAAAAAAAAGCAATTATTATATAACACCTAAACTAAATAAAAATTAAATAGACAATATTTACAAAACAATATTAGTTATAAAAATCTGACCATTTAAGACGTTAGAAAAAAATTTGGAATTTTTAAAAAAACAACTAGATTTACAATATTATTTTATCATTTATTTCACTAAATATATTTACAAAATATAATGTTAAAAAAATTAAACAATTACAACTAACATAATATGTGTTCGTATTGTATTAATTATTTCTCAAAAATATACAACAGTATAATGTTGCTTGAATAAAAATTAGGTACTACATATTATATTAGGATGGAATAATATAAGGGTTAAAAACATGATGATTAACAAAAAGATAGGTTAAAAACAATTATTAGCTAGTTGTAAAATTAGAAAAAAACAAATAATAATAATTAGAGAATGTAACGCTTAATGCAAAGTTAGTGGGTATGAGTTATAAACAACTGCTTACAAAAATTAGAAAGCATATTATATTTAACAAAGATAAAAATAAATTGATATTTTTTTAATTTTCAAGATTCTTGACTTACATAAACTGATTGATTAAAATAGCTCATCTTCAAAATATTTAAAAATTACATCTGTTTTATTGGCGGAGAATTACAAACATTTTGGATATAAAGATATGACATACAACCATTTTTAGTTATTTTAATTCTATACATATTTTATAGCTAATCTATAAACTATAATGATCACCTTTTTTTTACAACAAAAATATATAATTTAATTGTTGAAAAAAGAATAACAATAAAATTACATTTTTAAGTGTAATTAATACTAGAAAAAACGAAATCCATTGTGTATATCCAAATTAAATTGATAGGTTGTTACCGACCAAATTATTCTGTACATAAATGAAAATTCTTCACCCTCGAAAATCATAAGTTAAAAGAAGATGTAATAATAATAAATAATATATTTTTAATTTACATTTAACAGGTACATAACATGTAAAATTAAAATTAATTGTAATCAATAGTTTAGTATGTGATCTATGCTTTGCTTGTATAATTTATATATATAAATTTACTTACTTTTATTAACAAAACATAGTGAGTAAATAATAATTCAAGTAATATTAAGTGTACATATTAAGATTAATAGTTCTAATTTTTTTTTTAAATTGATGCAACTAAGGTATTTCAGTTTCTATCTAATTTCCCTATTAGTTCGTCACAAAGATTAGTTAGCTCAGCATTTTCCACGTCTTTTCTATCTAACGACTCCTGTAATGATCTGACTTTCACCTCTAAGCGTTTGTTCATTATTCTCATTTTTGAAGTTTCTGCCTCAAATGATCTCTCCTTATCATTTATTTCTTCAGTGGCTCTAAGAAAATAAATATTAATTACACAATTTAGTAGTTAAAAATGACAAAAATTTCAATAACATTTAAATTATTACTTATTCATTTGTTCGGTGGCATGTATTTTTAACCTCATATATTTGTCTTCATACTTTTTGAGAGATTCTTCAAATTCTTTAATACAGTTTTTATATTTTGTTTCGTTTTCTTTCATTGCCTCTATTACTTGCTTTGAGGAGTTATATTTTCTATAAAAAAAATTTTAAAAATAAAATTTTATAAAATAAAATAAAACAAATTGCACTCATTAAAAAAAATTATTTATGTACTATCAAAATGTAACATATTTAAACCAGTATTGTATACTCATAAATTATTTTATGAATGGTTTTCCCCAATAATAATACACATTTATACGTACAATAGGTTAATAATAAATTGTTTACCCTCAAAAAGTTTTTCAATTAAAAGCCATACAATAAAATACAAAACTTATTTAATTCTAAATATTATTATCTTTTATGAACTTAAAAGTATCAATTATAAAAAAAACAAGTCATAATATTATCTTATTTTAATAATTTAGGGTTGGAATTTTAATAACCTAAATCAAGGAGCCCAGATGCAGCCCACATCTGAGTCAGTGAACAAATTTTAACCAGCCCATCCAATTTTTTTTTAGTTTTACTAGACGATTTAGATAATTTGTGGGAATTTTCCATTAATACCTTTCTCAAGTACCAATTACACATTCACTTTCCTACCAGAAAAGATACTAAAGTTTAAAAGCAAAAATTATTTAGACTACTTATCATGTATACACACACAAAAAAAAACCACAACCTACACCTTAATTTGCAATGATAATTAACTTACTAAACTAACAGTAACACACTTACACACATGTATGATGGTTTTTACTTTCTTATTGTAACGATAAACTTGATAAAAATCAAGCTCCAAAACTAAATATAAGACATTGCATAAAAATGCCAGCCCTAATAATAACTAATATTTTATTTTTTATTCATAGAAAATGTATAAAAGTTAATTTTGTCAAAAAAAGAAAAACCATATTTACATTAGATTAATCTATATTGCCTACAACTTATTATCCACATACATCTACATTTTAAAGAACCCGAAAAAGTATGGAACTGCATCAGAACCCTATAACTATTATTTGAATAACTAACCCAAACCTCAATAATTAAACATGGATTAGCTTGTATTAGGATACAATTTTATATAATGTAGTTAGAAAGCAAATAAACTTTACTCGTGAACATCATTGAATGCCAATTCTGAATTTTGGAGGTGACGTTCCATTTTTGCTCTTTCTTCTTCAATATACGCAATTCGAGCTTCATATTCTTTATGTACATCTTCTTTTTTAGAGACCATATCAGAAATGGTTTTTTCATATTCTCCAATCACAGTACTAAACATAAATATATCAATTAATCGGATTAAAAAAACTTTATTCATTCATCGTCAAAAAAATTAATATATGTATTAAAATTATATGTACCTCAATTGATCTTTACTTTTAGTTACTGATATTAATGAATTGGTCAAGTTTTTAATTTTTTCTTTGTCGGCAATACATTCATTTTTTAGGTTCTTGATTTCGCATTCCAACTTTTCTATTTTATCCTATGCACAAAGAAGTAATTTTAATTATATCAGTAACTAGCTGATCCGGTGTACTTTGTTGCCCGGCAACCAATAATTATTATTATAATAGCTTCAAAACCCGTGGCAACCAACAAACACACAGACAGACAAACATTCATTTTTATATAATATTATAAGCATAGGTGTAGACAGGAATTTTGTCAGGTTGGGGGATAGTAAACGCGATAAAAGTGACCGTTTTATATATTGAGTATTCTATTGTGACAACTGGCATGTCCTTTGTATTGACAACATACGATATAATATATTACAATCTGAATCATAATATTAGTCGTTATAGTCGTGTGTGTATTTCTCAGCGTGCTCCGGCTTAATACCGAATATGTGGAATACGTCGTATATTATTTTAGTTCTAACGAGTTACGTTGTAAAATTGAAGATTTGGAAAAAAAACCTAGGCGTTAACAGTTATTATTTTAACACGTAGACTGCGTATGTCTTTTTGCAGTTATCACCCAGTGCGTATGATAAAAGTAAAAACAAAAGAAATTAAAAAAAATATATAAAGAAACTGCTCATAACGATGTATGAATACATATTTAAAAACATGCGTTTAATCCACGCTAAATAATAATAAAATAACATTCAGCCACGCGTAGGGAATTTTAAACCATTTATTTTAAATGTATATTAGACGCCATATGGCGTCAAAAGCGTTGCTGAATGATACTTATGACACCAATTGGCGTCAGTACGCAGTGAACGTGTTAAAAATAACTGTGCAAAATAAAATATTTTCAATACTTTAAAATTATTTTTATTTTTTAATAGCCAGGGCCCAGGGGGGTGCAATTGCACCCCCTTGCACCCCCCTCGCGGCACCCTTGATTATATAGATTGTAATAGATGAATCTATACATAGGGGAGTTCTACAGAATATGCCTGGTTTGGTACTGTTGGTATGCCTATAGTTTTTTGTTGCTGCTCTTGTATGCAGACTACCGTCATGTTTCTGCTCTAGTATGCGGTCTACAGTACATGTAGGCAGTGTAGTATATTAGCACGTCAAAAAATTAACTAATGTAGTTTTATCCAGAGTATAACAAAAATATATTTTCATGTCAAAAAATTAATTAGTTTAAATTAATCCATAACCGATAGGTAACTAACAAACTTATTAAATACCTACGTATTTGTTTTGAATTAACAATTTATCTCTATATCTACTTTAAGCAACTTTATAGTGGGAAAATACTGTATACAATCAGCAATCTTACTTGGAAGATATACTATAATATATTATACTATATTATATATAGGTATATTTTTTTTCTGCTCTAATATGCGTTCTATGTATATGATTGTAGACCGCATTTATAGTTCGCATACAAGAGCAGCACCAATTTTTTTATAACACATAATATAATGCAATTATATTGATAGAAGTAAATAATAAAGTAACAATCTCAACTTTAATCATATTCTGTGGTTTAAAGCCAGGCATACACATTTCAAAGAATGACAATCAGCAATACCGATAAAGATTGACATGTTTGATTTTATAGGAAGATTGAAAATTACGATTGCCAGTATATGCCTGGCTTAAGGTGAGCATAAGGTATATTACTTTATTGATTTATAAATAAAAATATTTATTTTATATACTTGGTAACATTTTTCTCTGTCATTAGTTTTGGAATTGGAACTGTTACTGATTTTCTCGTCTTTGGTAATAGACTGATTCATTTTGGTATCTGAAATCTGAAAATTTAAAATATTTATAAAAATGGTGATTATTGATTTATCATCACTTTGAGGAATAAAAATATTATTTTAAATACGGTTACTTACATTCAGAGATTTGTTAGAGCCACTAGATTGTGGAGAACTAGTCAATACTGTTTTATCTGTGACTAGTGTATTTTCAAATGCTTCTTTCCTGTGTGATAAAAATATAAATGTCAGATTATCCATAATTTGTATTAAAATGTATTAAGTTGTTTTTATTTAAAATAAACTAGGTATTAATTATAAGATTTAGAACAACAGTCAATAATGTTTTGGATTACACACAATAGTAGTAACAATTTAAGATAATAGGCATAATTTGGTGACACTTTCATAATTTTGAATGTGGTATAAATGACCAATAATGTATAGAATAAGTACAATTAGAGAATATAATAATTATTATGTAGAACACTAAGTAATATTGAAAAGTATATAAATATATAAGTATACAAATAATAAATATATAAAACATAAAAAAAATTTGATTGACGAAGACTAATATTAAAATTATAATGTTTCTTTTAAAAATATAATTGACTTAAATCTAAAAGTATCACGAGTAGTATTGAAAAAATCTAAGGCGGTGGAGACAAAATTAGCAAGTTTCAGACATCTAACAAAGAATGAGTCATTACATTTGGACTTGAAGAATGGAATGGCAAAAAGATCATGATTCCTCGAGTAGTATGAGAGAAATTGATCTGAGTTCAAAGCTCAGGGCTTACATTATTATAGTTTAACAAGTCGTATACAAACATGATATCAAATAACCGAAGTCTTAGCTGGAGGGAATCTGTGTTTACTAAATTTTGTACTATATCTTTAGAAATGGGTAAGTCTTTCATATGGGCAATTCTTTTTAAAAATTTTAATTGGATATTATCTAGATCATGAATATGAGTGGTTAACGATTGACTCCAAATTAGTGATGCGTATTCAAGAACAGATTGTACAAGGGAGCAATAAATTGTTTTTATTGTAGTAGGGTTATTAAATTTTGAGTGTTCCTATTTATGAAGCCTAACATTTTATAAGCTTTGCTGAGCATATATACATGATTTAGTTTAAAGGATAAATCTGAGCTAAAGAGAACACCAAGATCTTTTATTGAATAAGCTCTACTTAAGACTATATTTTCCAATGAGTAATTGTAAACAATATGATTTTTACAATGAGTAAAAGAGACAATTTTACATTTTTCTATGTTCAAAGATAAACAATTATTTTTCTACCTATTATTTTTTAAATAGGCTAAAAATAAAGTAACTGAGGTTCTGTTTTTTTTTTTATATAGAATATATTATATGTAATATGATAAACATTTTTGTACCTCTTTAAATAAGATAATAAAACTATAATCAACAAAACATTAAAACTTGTTTACTTACCGAGCATTGGACTCCTCGTTAGATTTTTTCACAATAGGGTCAAAAGCTACATATAAAGATTTTCTGGAAATAGTTAACCTTCTAATATCTTCTTCATTTAACGATCTCACGGATTCAAGAGCTTCTAGATTATCAAAATTATACCCAGCAGATGAATTGAAACCTATCAACAAAAAAATAACTTAATAACTACAATAGACATTACTAGAATGATCTTAAAACATCACCCTGTATGACAACATAAATTTTAATTTTAACAATAGTAAAAACTAAATACAATTACCTTCAGCTATTACAGGTCCTGCTTCACTAGAATTTTTGATTTCACTATCAAAAATATTTGACTGAAAAATAAAAATAATAATTAATCTTCTATCTAATACTATAAAATTTGATTATAATATGAAGATTTATAGAAGATTAACATTTCAAAATGTAATAACTTTTAGCCTTAAAATGTATGCAATAATTAAAATTGAATATTACAGTTTATTATTGCAATAATTTATAAATAGATTTAGCATTTATTGTATTTGTTGTTAAAGAAGTTAAATAACGAATTTGATAAACTATGTGGAATATATTTTTAATTTAAAATGTAATATATTACATGCCACATGATTATAATTTACATGTTGTTTTAAATTGTTTAAAAACATATTATAAAACATGTTTTTATATCAAGATAAAAAACACAATATGTTTTAATACAAAATTGTTTTAAAACAATTAAAAACCATAAAAACATGTTTTTTGTTAAATATTATAAAAAACCGTTTTTTACCCAACCCTGTTTTTAAAATATAATTATTTTTTTTTAACAGATTTAATGATTCCTACAAATTTAATGTATTCTAGATGTTGCACTTTGTCTATTATTATTTTATAGTTTATACTTCTCATACCTGGAATATTTTTTCTGATCCTATACCATCCATTAGCGAAATATTTAGTTTCTGTGCTGAATTGATCAAGTCTGGATTTAATTGATGTGATATTTCTTCTGATGATTTGTTTGAGAAAGAATGTAGAGTTATATTATGCGAAGAGTCTTCAAAATCAGAGCTAACTAAATCCAAATTCACCGATGTTAAATTTTCATGTATTGATTCGATATTACTGCCCGAGTCATTAATGTCTTCGTTGCATATAGTTGAAGAAAAGTCTAAACTATCCAACTGTTGGTTTTCAACAGAATCTGTAACAAATGACCTGTAAATAGAACTGTCATTTGAAGTTACAGGCCTACCGCTATCTGAATCAGCTGAATCTGGACGTTCTTTAAGATCAAAATCGTCTTCAATCACTATACTATCAGGTCTGATTTTTGACACTTGTGGAGTAGCTAAAGCTAGACGTTCTAATTTGTTTGTGAGCTGAGAAACGTTAAAACCACCCAATGACACATCACCTAAATATTCTTCATGACTACTGAAAATATTGCCTGAACCACCTAGAATAATTTTTTTGCATAAATATTGGTTTGTTATAGAGCAATAAAAATAAAAATTTTAACCATTTTTTATGACTGTCTTGTCTTGAAATGAACTGTTTGATGATTCTGTTCCATTTGGAAGATTAGGCTGTAATAAATAAATACAATTATTATTATGCCACATATTTACTTAATAACATAGCACAACTACAACACATATTAGCATAAATTATTACATTTTATTACAATCTTATGAAAGTTGCTAAAAAGAAAGAATACTATATATCAAACAAAAATTGAAATATAAGTATCATATTTTATTACTCAAAATTCAGTTGTAGCCATACAATGTTTTGTTTATAATTTTTAGTGATTTTATTGTATAATAATACATATACAACTAAAATACTAATAGTAGCGTTCAGTAAATATGTAAAATTTGGTTAAATTGCATCTTAATTTGTAAATGTATAATCAATGAATTTTTAATAGAGTAATGACGTTCTCTGTGTGAGATCATGAATAAAAATAGGTGTATCCGCCTACATGATCAAGTTGGACAGGTATGGAATATCTTTGCCACATCATTACTACATATATGCCCTCAAAGGGTGAACATCTAATTATGCATAAAATACTATATTTATCTTAATAACATAAAGTATATGTATAGATGGCAATATAAATTATGATTATAGTGTAAACAACAAACTTTATGGGAAATATACAATGTAGATTTTTAATACTAGTACAGATAAAAGTTTTGTCAATGAATTGCAAAGTCTGACCCGACACCATTTCGAGTACAATGTAAACATAATATTATTATAATTAAAAGGTGCTACATATATATATATAGATATTTCTTTATAAGCTTTGCAATATTACAGCCGTAATACAATTTCTCCTTAACCTTACCTTTTGACACCGGAGTTGACATAATCCTAGCCCTATTTGGCGTTGCAGCATTTAACAAAAGTCAAAAACAACATATAATGGCAACAGATACTGAGTAAGCGAAATCAATAACAACAATTTACCTGATTTTCTTGGTCGAGCATCATATCATTCCTTGTAGTCGTGGTAGTAATAAATTTCTGAAATTGAATATTATTATTCGCGCAGTTAAATTATTATTAGCGATCAACTGTAAAATGCACACAGTTACAAAATCCAAATAACGGGGCCAAGACTAGTCACTAATCCACAATATCATATTATATCGTTGCAGTCGTGAATCGTGATGATAAAAAGTACAAACTGTAGAGTGTTGTCGTAGTTGTAACTTGTAGGCAGTCATGTAGCAGACGATGCAAGTTGACTAAAGCAAACGTTATCAACGAACGTATCAGTAGAACCGTTAGGTAACATTGCGGTTCAAACCGTCCGTATACCCAGGTTACAGACTGACAGCAGAACAATAGCCTGGTAATCATATAATAAGGTCAATGCTGCTGGTAAATTTAGGTGCAAAAATGTATGATTTAACAAATAACAATACTATTAAGATTTCTATATAGTCCGTGCACAATTAAAGATATTGTGAAATCGACTAATAACTAATAATTATTATTATAGAATATAGTTGTATACGTATACTTATATAGTTATATGAGTCAGTGGCATATTTGAGGGGGGCTGTGGGGGCGAATGTCTCCCCCATGACTTGATGAATAATTGGTTTTTATATAGTTGTAAATGTTGTAATGCCTGTAATAGGTACATACTACATACTATGATGCTAAGGCAAAACGAATTTTTTTTATACCTTACATGTTTTCATATTAAATATTAAAACATATTAATATAATGTTATAGCCTATAGGCACTTATAGCTGACTGAAGTTTCTAATAAATTTGTTTGTACGTCTTATGGATGGGCGTTTACTTCGTAAGAGTCAGAGCAGTAATATTATCACATAAACAGTCACATACTTACTCGCATAACGATTTACATTATCACCAAGCCTGGATAAGGGGGGGGGGGGGTAGGGGCCCATAGTTTTCTCGGCTTAAAATTACATTGAGTAGTAATTTGTACTTTTTATAGTGCCAAGAGAATATTTCTTTTTGTTGTTTGAACTAATAGGCGTTGGGGCCCGTCATCCGCTTACTGTGTTGACCAGCACAAGCATGGACGTAAGTGGGGGCACACGTGGCCATTTTTTCATTGGTTGGGGCTTTGGGGGTCTTAACTGGGCTTGAATTTATTATCAAATTAAAGAAATTATACTATATAAATATTATTTTAATTTATAGTAAGTTGTCTAACCCGAAATCTTCTTTGATATTGAATATTTAGCATTATTTTTTCTAGAAGAGGGTCATCACTCATCAGACGCAAATTGGTAAACTTCGTGGTACATTCAATAGGGTAGAATATAAAGGGTTTATGGAAGCAAATAAGATCTATAGTTTGTGCTGTGGAGGCAAAAGTAGAAAAACTAAAGAAAAAATGCTAATATAATAATTATTAGGAATATTTACGCAAGACATTTCGACAAAATCGATTTGGCAAAAATATTTTTGCCATGTTTTTACAAATAACCGTAATGAGTTGAAATTTAAATATTTGTATAATCATTTCTAGACATGAAACATTTTTTCCAAAAAGGCTGTTGCATTTTAAATTTAAATTAAAAATTCTAATTTTCCCAATATTTTAAGTAACGTTTCCTAATTATTAAAAAAGATAAAAATGTTGACCAAAAGGCAAAAACCATTCTTAAAGGTGAAGATTGAATTATTTTCGGCTCCAAAAAGTGTCAAGAAAGGAAAAAAAATATTAATATATATTGTAAACCATATATAGGTACTAAATTCATAGCTCCACTCAGTACCTATCTACAATCTACATAACTGTATGACTGTATGTTTGTATAGGAAGTAGGTAGGAACCAAAATAATTGATCTATTATTTAAATCACCGTGACTTATTTAACGAGATTACCAAATGCAAATAGTACATATTTTTAAAGTCATTATTTATATACGATACAGGCATGGGCGCATGAGGCATTCAGCGCATATAGGTGTAGCATGATGAATTTATATAGGGGGGGGGGGGCTCTATTGTATTTCTAATACTCAACATATATTCTAAAAATCATTGATTATAAATACTAGTATTTATAATCAATGTAAAAATGTAACTAAAAATATTATGGCATGGGGGGTTAAACAAAATTCCAAGGGTGCTACAGACTCCACCATTCCACGCCTAGCTATGATTCAGCGTAATAATATTACTAAATAATGATAATCAGTGGATTTCTAAAAAAAATTTAAAAGAAGTTTTTGTTATTCCATTTATTTCATTTACATTTTACATACCTACCCACATAGCTTACAACTTACATAGAAAATGACAAAAGCTAGTTTTTTTATATAGTCCGATAAAATATTTAAAATAAATACCTAATTACAAAACTGGGCACTAACTAGTTAGAAAGTTAAAGTTAAGTTAGTTTTAGTTCATATTAACTTTGTAACTTAACTAGTTATTAAATTATAGGTAGGTTGTAAGTACTTCCCATATTTAATGCGCAATAAAAAGATACTTTCATTTAAAAAGTTAAGTTTTATTTGTAAAACTAAAATACCTTTGTATTTAAAATAAATTATGAATATTTTCATAATGAAACCTCATAGGTACTAGGTATACTTATAATATATTGATTTAAAATATATTCGTCTTCGTAGTTTGTAATGAATAATGATACAATGAATAAACAAGAATTTCATTTGATTTATTTACCTGAACCTTGGGTTACGTACTCAATGGTGTGTTATTTTTCTATTAAGAAGACGTCATGCAAAATTTAAGCTCTTAATAATCCATTTTAACTGTGTTGTCTTTAGTATTATATTTAATTGATTTATTATCAAATTTAAACATAAAATTATTATCTATCCAATATTATCTTAACTGGACATTTTTATGTATATTATAGTATAAATGTGTACTGTAGACAAACGCCTTGAGAATAAATAAACATTGTAAGAATAAAACAGTAAAATGTGTTAAAATGTGTTAAATCATATGTTAATGATAATCCGGAAAAATTAACTAAAGTCAATAAAATGTGTACTGAGAAACATAAAAAACATCAATTCCAATCTGTTTAAAAAGTAAAGTGGCAACGTATAAAATTAAAATATATTTATTATTCAAGTATAAACTATAAAAGTAAAAACAAAAACTCTTTATGGACTCCGGATGATGGTTTATAATATACTTTAATCTTACTTTAATAATTTTAAAAAAAAGAAGTCTGTTTGATGTATAGAATAGGTATTAGGTACCTCTTAATTGAGTAATTCACTGTAATTGTAGTTCCTTTTAATTTTGAATCAAATGATCAATTGTTAATAACCGCTACTTGCTAGACTCTATGTATAGGTATAAAGTTAGTCTAAATATTTTAAAAATAGTTGTGTGTGTATAAAATAATAATATACAAAATAGAAAAAATAAAAAAGTTTCCCTATAGTTTGTAATTTTTGAATTAAGTACAGCAAATTTACTAAGGTCCGTCGAAGCAAAAATATTAATTTTTGTAAATTTTCAAACTTCAAATATCTAATTTAAACTAAATATTTCGTTAAATATGCATTAAATAATAATCCTTGATGATATTTTAATCGTTTAGTTGACACGAAGGCTTAATCTTAAACCTTATAATATGTATTCAAAAATAAATAAATTAGGATTAAGCTATCTGGCGATTTTATCGATAATATTTTATTTGGTTCCAATAATTTTGACCACACATATTATTTATGTTTGGATATTCTAGCGGATAGTTACTAATAACAGTGATGTTGTGTCTTCAGTTAGAGAGTTCTTGGATATATGGCTGGTAAACTACAGTAGGTATGACTAAAGCCTTGGTGAGGGAACAGAGCTAAAATGTTTTTCAATATTTTAACCTAAAACCTTAAAATATGTATTCAAATATAAATAAATTAGGATTAAGCTATGTGCGATTTTATCGATAATATTTTATTTGGTTCCAATAGTTTTGACCACACATATTATTGAAGAAAAAATTGTTTGTGTATTTAATTTGTTAATGTATTAAATAAATTATTAAAAGTTTGCAAGACGAAAGAAACCTACTTCAGAAAACAAAAGAAAAAGATATAAAAAAAAAGTTTCTACACGTAGAATAAAATATAATATTAATACGATTGATTTTAAGTACCTAATAAACTATTTACTAAACGTGTAAGACGAATGATTTCCCGAACATTTGGAACATATTATATTATCATATTATATTCATAATATATTATAATATAGTCAAGTCTTTTACTCTCCGGCAGCACTTGTGTGAAAAAATACGGAAAATAATATATTTTCAAGTACCTACCTAGTACCGACCTATATAATCATAAATTCGCAATTTTTATCAAAAACTATACATATTGTATACTAATAATGAATTATTGTATACAAGTATACTACTATACTCAATTAATGATTTAATGATTATACTTATATACCTACACAATTATTATTAACACATCACGCAGACGCTTTATTCAGAGTATTATGTTATAAATTATAATATACCTAACATACCTACGCAAATGTATTACACTTTCCACTCGGTACTCGATAAAGATCATACCACCTAGGTATGCCTATAATTATATTATTGTACAACTGTCAAAACACACATACCGTCGAAAAGTGATGTCCAAGTATACAGTAATAGATAGGTACCTGTTACAAGATATTTTCAGATTAGGATATTACAACTCAAGTCAATTATTATATTATAGTCGTTAAATCTGTAAAAATAAATTTATACACTTGTCAAAACGAAAAAAAGCAAAAATAATTTATTGAACAAAAACAATATGAAATATATAATGAATATAATTTCAAAAACGGAAACAATTTTGGAAACGGTTGCCGTTACTGTACAATTTTTTATGTTCAAAAAAAGGTAGAACAAAAAAGCCGAAATGTATAAAGTGAATATTATTTGAGATAAGTAAAGAAAATTTAAATGGAAAAAAAAAATACGACGGACAGGAGACACAATAAACTATA